ATCGATTCGGGACCTTGTGAACCGGAATCGAATCGATTCTAGAAATCAGTGACGATACCCAGCCCTACTAACCACCACCTTACTGTGCTGTTCTGGCCTACTACTGTTAGTTATATTATGTTAGCATAGGCATTTAATTTTAGCCATTGAAAAATATTTTAGTATATGGAGTAAAGCTGGTTTCAGAATATCAGTCTCAGCTGTCTTAAACAAAATAGTAACAAGCATTTCAGGATAAAATTAGAGAGGTAATACTGTGGATGTCGTTACCGTGAATTGAAACTTTGAAGAAATCTGGAGGCTTGTCTTCACTAAATTGGAAGTATTTCGTCCCTTTGTTCAAAAACTGAAAGAGCATCGTTTGGATATTGGCTTTTGTGAATCAATTAAATCAATGTCTTGGTCCACCAACTCAACCCACCCTACTCTAAACACAAAGTGCTTCTATAGCTGAATCTTCCCTTGTCATCAGTGATTCAGAACAGAGCTATTGTGACCACTACACTACTCACTATTTTTCATATGTTGTGCCATTTCTAGTTTTGCCTTTGCTTCTTTCTTCTTCAATAGGTAAGGCTAGACTAGAATACTTGTAGCCATGTGCCTCCCCCTGCAGTTCTGGAAGAGTAGCCACCTCAGTCAGTACACTGCTTACAATGCCAAAAAAAAAAGAAGTACCTTCACGTTTTCAGGATTTTGATATTAAATTGTGTTGTAAGGATCGGTCTTCTGACATCCCTAGTGCTGTCAGGAAATTGTATTGAGTAATACAAAGAGAAGACTGCAATGAATACTCATTTTATATTCATCCACCATGCAGTCACACTGGCCACTGAAATTTGAATTGATTTGATAAAGGCATGTTTGAAATAATGACATTTATCCAGTGTCATAGGTTGTTGAATGTTTGGTCTATGTTGGCAGTGTACCCAGTAAAGCAAAATGAAAGTCTGCTAAATACACACACACATCACTTTGTTTATTTTTTGCAAGTCATATTGACTTAGGCTTTTTTGCAGGAAAGACTTAAGGGTATGGTAATCCTTTAGAGCTACAAATTGAAAATTAATTGTTGGTTATATAGGTGGTGCAATGGTGCGTGTCATCTCACAGCAAGAAGGTCCTAGGTTTGAATTCACTGTGGCCTTTCCAACCCCGAGGACATGCTCTTGTTTTTGCTTTTTTTTCTTCTAACTTTATTTATCACTGTACAAAGAAACAGGGCAGCTGTGTCCTCAGAATTTTGAGATTCTAGTTGTGAAGGACAGATGATTTTTAAAATCTCAACATTGATATCTCCTTAGATATATAAGTTATATGATTATCTTCACCCCCCCCCTTTTTTTTTCTTCTTTTAAGAATATCAATATGTTGTCTAGCCCTGTTTTTAAATCAGCTATCGACTAAACTAGTTAGCAAGCTCAGCTAGAGCTTTTTAACTTTACTTGAAAATGCTTCATTGTGTGTGTTGGTCAGCCAAGGCTTATACTACAAAACAAGTTCAGCCTACCCAGGATATCTTTCCATTATCTGGCCTTAAGAAGGTGGTTATCAACTTGAAAAGTCAACCTAAGGTTTCCAAATGCAACTACAAACACGTTCACATGAAAGGTGTAGAGTTGGCAGCATATGACCAGTCACAAACAAGGACAGCTCTACATTATAGGTGTATATTAGCAGAGCGGCCAATTTTATAAAGGAAGATATGATGATTCTGTGATATTAGAAAAATATTAAGAAGGTAAATATATGTAATACAGGCTGCAAGCAGCATATTTGATGCAGACATAGGAGTAAATATGTGTAATAGGAAATGCTTGTATAAAAAGCACTATGTGAATATGTGAACCTTGTGTGCTTTAGTTAGTAAAACTAAAAAGTAACTAGTAATTGAAAAAAGTATTTCTTTCTGATTTTAAATCAGAAAGAAAACTGGATAAAACATTGAGACTTGGGCATCCACTTCTGAGAAGATTGGCAAATTCCTTAAATACGAAATTTCTATGTTTCTGTAGTGGTTAATTCACCAGTATGTGTGCAAGCTCTTTTAACAAAATGCTATTTATCAAAATTTAATGTTTTAATACATATTGTTGCTATCCATTATTTTAAAATGGACTGTTTTATATAAAAGCAGGAAAAAGTGAAGCACAGTATTATTTTTTTATTAAGATGCCAAATTACTGTTATTCACTTGCATACCCAAAAAGAAGAAATTGTTTTAGTGGTTGAATGTTGTACTTGACTAATTTCAGACGTCTCAGAGCAGTCCAGTGTGCTGGCTTAAATTTGGGTGGAAAAAACGAAAATTCATTTATTTGAAACTTCTGTTCCTAGTGTACTCAAACTGAAAGATATTTGCCAAACAGATATTTGCCAAACAAAAGGCTGAATACTGAATGTATTGCCTTTTGGTGTTGAGGACCCATTTCCATTCAAAACCAAAATATTTCTGGGCACTCAGCTCACTGACAGTCCATAAGGCCGATATGACATTACATTGCATATTTTGGTCTTACACGTTTGATTGGGACTGGGATTTTGATGCTGCAAGTTTATAAAAAAAGAAATAAGACAACTACTTTTGCCATTAAGCCTCTCTTTCTTATGGAGTCATGTTTTTACCATGTGATGTTATTTCAGCTTCAGTTCATTTTATTCTGTTGTGGCAAATATAAGGCCCTATTTGTCATTGTTTTGGCACCTGGATGTGTGGAGTGCTAGCTTTGTTGTGTTAATGAATGGCTTTGTCATTTTTTCTTTGGCATGCTACTACACTCTACTGTTTGTAATTTTCATAACACTAGAGGCTACGGCTTTCATGCTGAATAGAAAAGAGAAGTGAGACTGATGAACACTGATTGCCCGGGTGGCTGTAGTCATTTGGGGGGGCCCCCAGCAGTGATACTGAGCAGGTACATCCCCGCTGTCTTTCTATATCGCTGGTGTATTGCTGCTTTCCCCTCTCTGCCCAGCCTTTTCCTCTGAGTTGTATTTCCAGTCATCAACTTTGAATATGCATGCTTGTAAAAAGGATTGCTGTTTCTGTGACAGGCTAGCTTGAGTACTTCCTGACCTCTCTGGGGTTTATGTAACTTCTAGCCACCCAAACTGGGCAAGCAATGCCATAATCAGTACTGAAACATGACACCATGCGTCACCCCGTTTGTCACCCCACAACCGACATGTGCCACACACACACACTTGTACTTGGAGAAACCTGTGCCCACATGGTGATAGCCTGTCTTATTCACACACTTTCCACTTTGTCTAATAACCTGCTCCAGTGTGACACGCAGAGCTTTGTATGTGTGCATTTCTTCTTCTGTCTGTCTTTCACTTTCTGTCTTGGTTGCTCACTCTACGAAGCATTCTGTCTGCTTCATCCGCTCTGATTGTCTTGTCTGTTTGGAGGCCTGCCAGATGAGGGCGGGGGATAACTGAGGGTCAGAGGTAGACAGGAAGTCAGGCGGCCTTTGCTGTGAGCGGAAGGGGAGGGTTCAGTGGGAGGAGGGGCTGAGAACTGAGAGGGAGGAGGGAGTTGTACTTGGATTGAGTGTGTCAGGAGCATGTGGGAACGCTGCCAGCCTCAACTGCACAGTAGGTCTGAATTTAAAGTATGCCCTTTTATGCTGCTTTTCTTTCCTTTCTACTCTCTTTTGCCTCCTTCTCCAGGGATTAAATGGCTTTGAATATTTTGGGGGTGATGGGTGGGTGAGTGTTTGCCCAGCGGTCAAAATGTGAAGGGTTTTTTTTGTGTGTGTATGTGACTGGAATGTCTTTTTGGTTGTGACGCAACCTTCTTGAACTCACGCTAACCTTTGACTGGCAGAAAGGGCGGTTGGACTACCACAGTGTCTCTTGAGTATGAAAAGATTCAGTTCAAGGGGGACATCTTAAAAATCACTTGTAAATTATTTCAGTATAGGGTGCAACAGATGAAATAAGAAAAGACGCAGAGGAGTAATGACCCCTTTGTCCTTGTGTTTACACCTATACAATGAGTGAGAAAATTGAGAGGATAAAAGCAAACCCTTAATATGACTAAAAACTTAAGGAAAGTTATCTAAAGTGAATAAGACTGGAATAAGTGCATAAGTCTGTCATTCTGTTCCAGTCTGTGGTTTTTGCACCACAGCTTGACTTTGACACACTAAATGTCAATTGTATTGTCCCGAGAGACGGCAGTTGGCTTAGTGATTTGTAACTTCAGCAAACAGGTTTGTGTCAGTAGGAAGTCATTAAATAGTTGCCATGGACGTTGTAAGTGGAGACTTTTATTGTGTGTTATGCTTGTGTTTTTTGTTTTTCTTTTTTTTAACAACATTTGACTTACTCAGTTGACTGTTTACCTTAGCAGAAGAGGGTTGACTGTTGAAACCGGTATGTCATAATCAATCATTGCTCCCCGTTTTGTGAGTCAGGCTACAGTGTTGTCAGACAGGCTTTGCAAAGGTTAAAAAAATGACAAGAGTATTTTAGTCACCTTAATTTTGGGCCTTTAATGTGAAAATCTGACTTTTATTTGTGTCTTTTTGGGTATATTTTTTATATTGATCATGCTGTAGCAAACCTACAAAATGTAATCCACATGGAGCCAGGGTTTTTCTTGCATATGACAAAAAATGTTGGTCACCATCAAAGAGGTGCTGGCCTTCCAAAGGAAAACAAAACAAAAAACAGCCATTAAAATTTCATTTCATCAAGCTTCAATTTAATTTTTGTTTTTTAAATATCCAGAAACAACAGGAAAATGCACAGAGATCTGTTAAGTAAGTTACCCCACACTTAATCATATTAGCCATGTGCCAGTCAAGTATTTGAACCAAATACTGATCTGATACTGATTTAAAAAACTGGATCGCATATTGGTGACAATGACACAATCCATCAGTTCAATCAAAGCTGTTCTCTTTTGTTCAGCAAAACTAGCAAACACCAGCCGTTTGGAGGTGTTTCACACCGGCTATATCAACAGCTGCTATTTGTACGTTTGCAGATGTTTTTTTTGTTTTTGTCTTTTTTGGGGGGGGTGTTATCTTTTTTTTTTTTACCTAAACTGTGGTCAAAGCAAATGTTTTAGTAAATGACATCCTGTAGCGCTGTTTTCTGCCCATCTCCTAGCCCTGGACCTGTACAGGTCCTGGATGGAGGGAACATAAGCACCAATGATCCTCTCTGCAGACATGATTGTCCTTTCCAGTCTGGCCCTGTCCTGCTTTGTGGCTGAGCTGAACCAGACAGTGATTGACATGCATAGGACAGATTGGATGATGATAGTGTAGAACATGACCAGCAGCTTCAGTGGCAAGTTGAACTTCCTGAGTAGCTGCAGGAAGTTCAACATCTGCTGGGCCTTCTTTCAGACAGAGTCTATATGTGAGGACCACTTCAGATTGCGGGGATCCACTTCCTGTCTGTATGCTGACACATCATATTTCTGGATCAGACCAATGACATTGGTGTCCTTGATAAACTATAGGAGTTTCACATATGGTTCTCCTGAGGTGCACTCATTTGTCTAGAGAGAGAAGAGCAGTGGAGAGAACACATCTCTGGATGAGGCTGGTGCTAATGGTCTGGTGATCCACTGACAGGTGGAAGCTAGGTGAACTTCCAGTGCAATGTCCTTCTGGTGGCTTAACACAAGTCTTTCAAAGGACTTCACAGCCACAGATGTTAGCACGACAGGCCTGTAGTCATTTAATCCTCTGGTGGACTTTTTTGGCACCAGGATTTTTCTTGGGCCTGTTTTAACAAATGCAAACAGTTATGTGGACAATGCTATATCGCTATATAAAGTGCGGATGCAACTGAGTTAATCATACTTAGCTGCTTCATCAACACCCCAAGGCCCATTTTAAGTTACCACAAGGTCCAGTCATTCTTTGTTGTACTGTGAAAGCCACTGAAAATAATGGGTTTGAGAGAGCAGCACCTGCTGTTTGTGTGATGCATAACTATGTAGAGTTGGGACCAAGCAGAGCTGTAGTCTTGCATCCTCTATGCAGTTTCTCTCTTCCTGTTAGCCCCCAAAACCCCATTCCCTTAGACACAAAGAAAACAAAAAAACCCAACAATTGTTTGACCCCCTTAAAGCAATCACTTTGGAGAGAATGGGAAGGGAAAAACTCCCTTTTAACAGCAAGAAACCTCCGGCAGAACTTAGGCAGGGGCGACCATATGCTGCGGCTGGTTGGGATGAGGGGAGGAAGACAAGACGAGACACACTGTGAAAGAGAACCAGAGATTAATAATAACTAATGATTAAATACAGAGTGGTGTATAAATACATAGTGAGTGAAAAAGAAACAATGCATCAGTTGGAGTCCCCAGTAGCCTAGACCTACTGCAGCGTAACTAAGGGAGGATCGAGAGTAATTTGATCCAGCCCTAACTTTTATCAAAAAGGAACGTTTTAAGCCTAATCTTAAAAGTAGAGTAGGTGTCTCTCTCTCCTGAATCCAACCTGGGAACTGGTTCAACAGAAGAGGGGTCTGGAAGCTGAAGCTGTACCTCCCACTTTACTTTTAAGTACATTAGGAAAGTAAGTCTGCAGTCTTAGAGTGAGGTAAGGGGGTTATGCTGTACTGTAGTGTCTATAGCCCAGTTTGATTTCAACCAGGTCACACCAGTAAAATTAATACATATATTGTATGTTAAAAAATACATTTACATTTTTGTAAAGTACATTCTGAAAACATTAAACTCAACCATAGCCAAGATTATTTTTTTTTAAATAAAGCTGAAATCAGAAGCATAATTGAAGACTTGCTTTAACTTGCTCCCTTTAAAAACTGCTAAATTATTTTTTGTCATTTAAATGTGGAATATTTGTAGAAGAAATGCAAATAGCATAAAATAACTTCAGAGTTTTTCACACATCATAAATCTGCATTACAATTTTGAGATCATAGTGGAAAAGAATAAAAACGTAAAAATAAAATATAGTACAAATACTGTTGATATGATTCATACAACTTGTTTCGTTGCCATTGAATAAGAGCATGGATGGTACCAGTATATTTAGTTAGTAATTTACCTAACTATAGTTTTAATATATTTATACTTCATTTTAGTATTTCTGACTCAGTTATATATATTTTGGACTCTTGTATTTTATTTTGTGATTAAAAAATAAAAAAATAATAAAAATAGTCTTAAAATTACAAATTTTATCAAAAATAACTATCGTTTCATGTACTTTGTTCAATAATGCATCAGGAAAACAAACCTGAAGAGCCTTAGTTTATATTTTGTGGCCAAACATTTCATAATGTTGTTCTTTACTGATGAAAATTTGACAGTCTGTTTGAAACTGAATAACTATGAAATGAAGTGTGTTTTAAACCCTGCATTTCTGTGTTTATTTTGGGGTTCAGCTGTAACAGTATCAGCAGGGAAGCTGCTTCTTCTCTGGCCATATCTCGTCCCCGCCACTAGACATTTGTGGCTGACAGCTGTCTGTCTTTGACTTAAGGTGATTTCATACTAGTACAAAAGATGGACAAATTTGTCAATTTAAGTAAAGCCAGGAATATAGTCCCCACAAGGGACTAGTGAAATGTGTGACTAGTTGACTAGCTGATGAAATGTTGGCACCAGAAATGCTAGTTGGTGAAACTAATCATATATTGTTGATTTCACTTCAGTTAGCTTTAAGTTTAATAAGAAAAGATCATTAGGGTGGATTGAACACGAGTCATGATTGAATTAAGCTATTTGGCAACTAGAGTTTAATGGCCCATCACAGCTGTACAGATTCCTAGTGATGACTTAGGCAAGACCCCCTGGAGTCTAGATGCTGGTGGTGGTGGTGATGAAGACGGAGGCTTGGATGAAGCTCTTGGTAATGTGAGAGAGGCGGAGATGAGGAGCAGGTGGTTTACACGAAGGTAACCTGTAAATTTGTATATTTCATTGTAGGGCTGCACGATTTTGCATAAAATGAGAATCACGATTTTTTTGGCTTAGAATTGAGATCACGATTTGTTGAGCAGGAAGAGTGAGCGCTTGTTTTCATGCAGA